CTAACTCTGTACATAATTTTAACTAATTTAATCTCAAGCGGCTAAGGACTTCTTCAGTAGACAGTGCAGTTATAAAGAAATGGGGGGAAATAAAAAAATCTTAAAATCCTAAAATCCTCATATTCTGATTCAAAAAGCAAAAACTCCAGTAGATAATGGATATACATAGATGCTTCTAAGTCACACCGTCAGAGCAAAACCAAGATCTCTTGTGACTTATACAGAGGGAAGAACAAAATACCACATAAAAATGTTGCCATGTTTCCAAGAAACTACAATTTGTAGAGAGGAATAGAATACTGATTCCCTATTAGCTCCAAATTGGAATTTCTTAAGGTGCTTCCCAAAAATATGGATCTATGGCTCCCCAAAACTGTGGTTTAACTTCTCTGAATACATTCCTGGATATAGGTATTTTTTTTTAAATATGCTTTATCTGAACATAAGGACTTTTACAAGTTACTCCGGTGACTTAATACGAGGGAAAAACTAAACTACAAAGGAAATGAGCTGGTTTTTTAAGTGAAAAATGCAGTATTCAACCAAAGACATTTATTGCTGGCAGAAAAAAAAAAGTATTTGCATAACTAAAAGTCAAGTCAAAATCCTTGGAGGGTTAATATGAATTATTAGTTCTAAATATCCATAAATAATTCAATAATTATTTTGTCTGTGTTAATAGTGATGCAAAAAGATTAGAGAGAAAGGAACTAAATCTTGAGTGTCAACCTGCAATGGGAGGTTCTGTATATAAATCTTCCACATATCCAACAGAGAGAGAAATACCAAAAGAGAGAGAGAAATAAAAGGCTTCTGGTGGATCAGGCCACAACTAGCTGTACTCTGGACCACTCCATGTTGGCAAGGAGGATATTGGGAGGACAACCACAAGGTACCAGCAATTGAACTCTGGTTGCCATGTTAAGACCATCACTTTAACCCCTATACTCCCTTCTCTGGCTCTAGAAAGTAAATTAATTTTGGTGGTTGGGGGGGTGGAGGGATGCCACAGAGAGAAGTGCTCAGGGCTGACTCCTGGCTCTGCACTCAGGGACCCCTCCTGGCGGGGTTCCGGGGAGCAGATGAGGTGCTGGGGATGGAACCAGAGTTGGCCGTGTGCCAGGTCAGCTAGTCATCTCCTGTACTATTGCCCCGGCTCTGGAAAGGAAATTTAAAGACATTCTGTAGGACCTACAGATTTGTCACCTAAAACCCAAAATCTTCGTACAGACTTAAAATGCAGAAAATTGTTTCAGTAAGTTTTCACACTGGACTCAAACAAAAATGAAAAAAAAAAAAAGGAAGCAAGGAAGCAAGGAAGCAAGTCAGGAAGCAAGCAGGATTCAGCAGTGAAGCACAGGATCAGGGGAACATGCTAGGACCAGCCGCCATTCCTGTGTTTCCCAAGCAGCTCGCAGCAACCCCCAGGAAAAACAAGTTAGTCTAGAGTTCACACACACCGGCCTGCTCACTCGCTCGGGACGCGCTACCTTTCTGCTGGAGAAATCAGACGGCTGCCCCCCCTCCTTCCCTCCCTCCCTCCCAAGCCAGTCATATGACAAGACACAGCACCTGCAAGTAAGCACCAGAGATGTGTCCACTTCATGCCCTAGACCCCAGCTGTTTAGAGAACAGTTTTGATGTGGCATAGTCACAGGGAGCTAGGAACTTCAGCTGAAACCACTGAAAGTTCTGTATTAATTTCCTCATTAAAAGTTGTCTAATGGGGCTGGAGCGATAACACGGCGAGTAGGGCGTTTGCCTGGCACGCGGCAGACCCGGGTTCAATTCCCAGCATCCTATATGGTCCTCTGAGCACCGCCAGGAGTGATTCCTGAGTGCAGAGCCAGGAGTAACCCATGTACATCGTCAGGTGTGACTTCCCCCCCCCCAAAAAAAGTTCTCTTCTGAGTATGTTTACTTCTAACCTGTTAAAGGATTTTATACATTTTCAATAATGAGTTAACGTCTGGTTTATATTGGCTAACATCACTTAGCAAGCAATCATCACAGACTGACTTTGATTGATTTAGTTTTTGAGAATACCATTTGCCATTCCTGTAAGTTTTGTTTAGAGCAAGTAATAGGAAATAAATTCTTTATATGCCTGCCAGAGGCATGGGTGGGAGGGAACCTGGGGACATCGGTGGAGGGAGGGGGACACTGGTGGTGGGATTGGTGTTGGAACTCGGTATGCTTGAAGCGACTCCACTCTGAACAACTTTGTCAATCACAGTGTCCTAACAAATATTAAAAGAAAATTAAAAAGTCCAGTTCCTGAATTGTTCAATACATCGTCATTTTCAAACTTGAAAAAAAAAAAAGAAAGAAAGAAAAAAAAGAAAAAGGGAACCCAGAGCAACAGACTCTCAACTTTCCCTTCTGCACTTATGGGACAGTACTAATCTGTCTTGAGACCCAATGTCTTTTTTTATAAAGTGACAGTAATTCAACAGAGTCACCTTAGTCACATCAGACATCTGATAGAATAGCTTCCCCTCACTCTTCCAATTAATGGCACAGGCTTCTCCCAAAGCATATTCCAAAAGAAGCCAATGTGAACAGGAGTAATTTCTAAGGGGCTGGCTCAGAGGAAGGCGGGATCTTCCCGTCCTTTGTGTCATGGGTATGGGGTGGGGTCTAGGGAGACACTGGAGATGCTCAGGGCTATTCCCTGGACGGGCAGTGCTCAAAGCACTGAACCCACTCAGGCAGCAACTTTTCGTGGAATTTTTGTTGTTTCCCTCCCCCCTTACTGGGAATTGAACCCAGACCCTTACACATGCTGAGCAGGGGTGCAACCACTGAACTTACTTCCACCAAACCAAGTGGTTCCCTTCAATTTCAAGTAATGTTAATTAGTGTTTCCTTGACCACAAAAACCATTTGTAATCTCTTTTAAAGTAGCAAACTGTCAAAGAAGAGCAAGTACCGGTAGTTTATTTCCCAATTGTCCTTTACTCTAGCACACATGAGGCTATGGCTCATATAAGATATTTGTAGCTCATATAATAATATTTCTAGCTCATATAATATTTCTAGCTCATATAATATTTCTAGCTCATATAATAATATTTCTAGCTCATATAATAATATTTCTAGCTCATATAACATTTCTAGCTCATATAATAATATTTCTAGCTCATATAATATGAGCTAGAAATATACACATTCTGTTGACAGTCATTCTCCCACCCGTTCCTTTTTTTTTTTTTCTTTTGGCTTTTCAGGCACACCAGCGATGCTCTGGGATTCTTCCCGACAGTGCTCAGTGGACCACCATATAGGATGCCTGAGCTCGAACTCGGATCAGTCACACTCAAGGCAAATAAATACCCTTGTTCCATGGCTCCGACCCCTCCAATTCGTTCTTGACGTGTTTTTTTTTCCCCCACCCAACTTACTCTAAGTGGGACACAGCAAAACTTTGACCTGTCTCTCTTGGTGAGGATATAAATTCCATTTAATTAAAGCATGACAACTAGGATGGCGCAAAGCAGACCAGTCAGCTCTCATTCATGGCCTAGATTCAAGAACAGGCCCCAGAAAGGTAAGTTTTACAACTTTTGCCTCCTATCAGAGTGTCGAAATCTCTCCTCTAAACCGGCGTTGTTGTTTTTTTTGTTGTTGTTGTTGATGTATTCTGGGTTCACTGCGCTGCCTTTGAGGACCCACCCGGCGGTGCCCGCGTGGGGAGGGCGTGGGGAGCCCTCCCCGAGCAGGGGACCAGGCGCGGGGCTGCTGGCATGCAAAGCACGCCCCAGAGGCTTGTGTGTGTGTGTGTGTTACCTGCAACGTGTTTATAAATATTTGGAGAGGATGGCAAGCAAGCCCCCCTCCCCCAAAGATAAGCAGTAAGGAGACTGGTCGGACAAAGGCAAAGGCAACGCCTAAGCCGCAGCGGGCCGAGGGGCCCAAAGCTGGGAAGCGCCCTGAAAGCGCCCTGGAAGCGCCCTGGGAGCGCCCTGGGAGCGCCCTAAAAGCGCCCTGGGAGCGCCCTGGAAGCGCCCGTTTCCGGCATCGCCACTCCGGCTCGCGCCTCTCCCACGGCCCGGTCACGCGCCCGCCCACCCACTCGCCGGAACGCCTCCCCCGAAGCCCCCACCAGGTCCGCGGGGCGACCTGGCACCGTCGTCGCGACCCACGGCGCCCGCCACAGGGAGCGGGGGGCCCGGTCGGCTCCGCTCCAGCCGGCCCCCGACGGCGGCACGTCCCGCGCCCCACTTCTGCGCGCTCGGGACGCGACACTCACGCGGGCTGGGGGCCGGCAGGCGCGGGGGGCGAGCCCGCGCCCCCAGACGCTCCCTCCGGACGCCCTCCCCGAGGTCCCTAGGACTCTCCGCGCCCCCTCCCCGAGATCGCCCCACACTCACTCTCCCGGGGCACCCCCGCGTCTCCCTCCCCGAGATACCCCGCGGCCCCCTCCCCGAGATCGCCCCCCACACACTCTCCGGGGTTTCCCCCGCGCCCTAAAAGCGCCTTAAAAGCGGGTATCCCTCCCCGAGATACCTCCAGCGCCCCCTCCCCAAGATCTCTAGGGTCCCCCTCCCCGAGATCCCCCCGCGCCCCCTCCTCGAGATCGCCTACACTCACTCTCCGGGTTTCCCCGGCGTCCCCCTCCCCGAGATTCCCCCGCTCCCTCCTTCCCCGAGCTCCCCCGCGCCCCCTGCCCCGAGATCCACCGGGACCCCCTGCCCCGAGGTCCCCGGGCGCCCCTGCCCCGAGCTCCGCCAGGCTCGCGCCCACCCGCACTCTCCCGGGGGGCCCGTGGGGGTGGGGTGGGGGTGGGGGTCCCAGGCCCGCGTGCCGGGTCCGCGGTGGAGCCGGGGCGTGGCCGCGCCGCCCCCCCCCCCCAGCGCGCCCCCCAACCCGCCCGCCCGCCCGCCCGGCGCGCCCCGCCCCGCCCCGGCGCGGTCCCCGGAACCGGCCGCCCCGCGCCCCGCGCCCCGCGCCCCGCGCCCGCCGCACGTCCGCCCCGTCGCGGCCCGGCCCGCCCTTACCGCTCGCCGCGCGCCGCGTCCGCCGCTACTGGGGCGCGGGGCTCGGGGCCGGCCGCCGCCGGGGGCCGAGGGAGCCGGACGAGGAGCGCGCCGAGGCGGGCAGCAGGCGCCGCATCTCCCCGCGCCCGCCCGGCCTGGGCCCGAGACGTCCGGACCCCGCGCTGCGCGCCGGCCGCTGCGCCTGCACGGCGTCCCCGGGGTGTCACCCGGCCCGCGGCCACGCCCCCGTCCATCGGCCCCGCGGGGCCCGGCCCCATTGGCCCGCCCGCCCCGCCCCGCCCCGCCCCGCCCCCGGGACGGGGTCGCCCGGGAGACGGGCGCGGGGTTCCCATGACGACCGGGGCCCGGGGCCCGGCTCCCGGCGTCCCGCCGGCCCGCCCGGCGCTGGGGTCCCCTGGCCCCTGCGGCCCGCTGGACTCCCGGTCCGAGGCCACGTTGCAGACTCCACCGATCGGCCCCGCGGGCGACTTTCGTCACCGCGTGGGGCCCCGGGGAGCGCTCTCGGGTCCGCCGGCACCCCCGGCGGGGGAGGGGGCCCTGGAGGAAAATCCAGAGCCGCCCCCAACCCCCAGGCCGGGGCTTGCGGGGGGTCGCGGGCGGATGCAAGTCCTGGTTCTTGTCGACCCGGATAACTCCGGCCCTTCGCGGTCCTTCAGACGTGGTTGCCCCGAGGTGCCGCGTGGTGCGGCGGAGCCAGGCGCCTGGGAGCGCGCGGTCGGGGGGCGCGGCCTGTGGGGTGGCCGCTTTGCGCTCCCCGGGGTGGCTCCCCCGTGCAGGGCTGGGGGGTGCGCGCAGCCCGTCCCCCGTCCACGGCTTCTCTCCGAGCCGTGCGGGCGTCTGCGGCCGTTCCTGCGCGCTGCCCGGTGGAGGCCACACTCCGGGCCTACCCGCAGGGGACTGGGCCCAGGCCGGGCCCCCAGGGCGACCCCCGAGCCCGGCAGCGAAGGCTGGTCCCCTGCCGACCCGCTGCGCGCTGCCAAGCTCAGAGCCAGCAGATGCGCGCGGCGCGCTAAGGACCGGGGCATTGGGGCACGTCCAGTGGTGCTCAGGGGGTCACCCCTGCCTGTACTCACGGTTCACTCCTGGCCGCGCCGGGGAGTCACTCCAGTGGTGCTCAGGGGTGACTCCTGCCTGTGCTCTCTCTCGATCCACTCCTGGCTCTGCTTAGGAGTCGCTGCTGGCAGTGCTCAAGGCCAACTCTTGGCTCAGTGCTCAGGGATCTCTCCAGGCGGGACATGGGAGTGATGTCTGGGATTGAAATCGGGTCCACCACGTGCCAAACAGGCGTCTCCTTCCTCATCCTCCCCCACTATCTCTCCTCCCCTGAACTGAACTCTAAAGGGCTGCAGGAACCTTGAAGCACAGACAGACAAGGAAAGGCAGAGGAGAGGACTGGAAAGCAAAGTGCTCAGGGGCTGGCAAGCAGGAAGAGAGCCGGGAGAGGGTCAGACCTGCCCCAGGGAATAGGAGAGGAGGGAAAACCCGGCGCCCTTCCCTGGCCCGCCCTTGCTTTCTGAAAGGGTCTTGTAGGACCTTAGAAAGAAGATTTGGGAGTAGCTTAACTCACAGCAGAGGGAAGGTGTAAAGAGGATCGCGTTGGATGTTCACGAAAGTAGACAAAGCAGTTCATGAGCTTTGCACTATGAGCACGGCAGGGGCGGCCTTGGATGCGTTTTCACCGGTGATTCTTGTGTTTCCCAGGAGGCTGGCTTTAAAATAAAATGGCCGTGAGACCGAAATTCGATTTTAAAAAATTATGCAAAAGATGGGGCTGGAGGAGGGCGTTTGCCTTGCGCGTGGCCAACCCGGGTTCGATTCCCAGCATCCCATAGGGTCCCCTGAGCACCGCCAGGGGTAACTCCTGAGTGCAGAGCCAGGAGGAACCCCTGTGCATCGCCGGGTGTGACCCCAAAAAAGCAAAAAAAAAAAATTACACAAAAGAAAAGTCAATCTCCTTTTTGGATATATAAGGTAGAACTAAAACACATTATTAACAAAACCCAGATGTGCCCAAATTAAAATAAATTTTCTGAGTAGGTAAGAATGGTTCGGTAATGGGGAGCTTATATGATGTTGCCTGAAGGATTTATTAATATCCAATAAGAGAAAATATATGAATATTTTAATTACTACTGAAAAGATTTTGGACAACCCAGCACTATTTCTAATAAAGACTTTCATTTATTTGCTTGGGGGGGGGGCAGAAATTCCTGGAAGTGCCCTGGGGCTGCTCCAGTTCTGTGCCTGGGGGACCATGTGGTACAGGTACCAGGGATTGGACCTGGGTGTCCCTCATGCAAAACTTCCAATCAGCCTATTTATCTCTCTGCCCCCCCCCCCACACACACACACAAACCTGAAGGATGTTACTCAGTGTTAGAGTGTTGCCGTGTCTTCAATGTCCAGCAGAATAAACAATCCAAGAAACTGTTTCAGGGAAGGGTTGGCTCATACCCAGTGGTATTCAGGGGTCATTCTGGAGGACTGGACGCAGCACTAGGGTGAGCTGCATACAAGGCAAGAACCTCACCTCTTGTACAATTTCCCTGACCCCTCAACTTTGAAGGCATTCAGATAATTTTAGACGATTTTATACCAACACGGGCTGGAGCGATAGCACAGCGGGTAGGGCGTTTGCCTTGCACGTGGCCGACCTGGCCGAGCCGGGTTTGATTCCTCCGCCCCTCTCAGAGAGCCCGACACGCTACCAAGAGTATCCCGCCCGCACAGCAAAGCCTGGCAAGCTCCCTGTGACATATTCGATATGCCAAGTAACAAGTCTCACAATGGAGACGTTACTGGGCTTGCTTGAACAAATCGATGAACAACAGGAGGACAGTGACAGTGACCAGAAAACTTTATAACGAAACACTCAATTGTTGTCCTAATCAGGAAATAGATAAGAATGCCCATACCCTTCCAGGTGAGGAAATGAGAGGGCACAGAACAAGAGACTGAAAGAAATCAGAACTTCATATGCTTCAAGTTATATAAAAAGTCCCGTTTCATTTCAAACTCTTCTACTGGCTTTTTCATTGTCCCTGACCCTTCCCTCCTTGTACTGATGTCCCTCTGTTCAGAGGTTGCACACGTGGCCACAGTGCTTGGGGACCAAATGGCAATGCCTCAAAGATTGCACTGAGACTGGTGCAAGAATTCATCTCAGCGTCTTGCACACACTGGAATGTATTCTACCACGCGAGCTATTTCCCAGCCCTTCCTTCTCAGAGCTTTCCACAGTAGTCTAGGGGAGAGACAGGGACCAAGGCACGCATCTGCCCCTGACTTGCTCCCAGCACTGACTGTGGTCCCCCATTGCCCCCTAGGAATAGCTACTGAGCACTGCGGATGTGGTCTAGGACCACAGCCTTTACCACAACCCACCCTCTCCCCCCCAAAAAAAAAGAAAAAAAAGAAGAAGAAAGTATTCATTCATTATAATTCTAGTCAAATAATAATTTGGGAAATTTGAGAGGAAAGTCATTTAAAATTTTATCTGGGAGGTTAACCATTCAAAATAACCAAGGAAAATCTGTTCGAAAAAGGAATGAGGAGGTAAAATTTTACTCATTTTTTTTTATTAACTGTGACTTGCAAAGTTATTGATAGTTGTGTTTTAGGCACAGAATATTTCAACACCAATTTCCCCCACCAGTGTCAACTTCCCTCCAACCAGTGTCCCCATATTCCCTGTCCACCCCAACCCTCACCCCACCCCTCCTGTCAACTTGACAGGCACATTCCAGAGTTCCAGTGGTCGCGGCTTAGATGCCATGTTTTCAGTGTTGTTGAGTCTGTGTTTGGATATATGGCCGCACCCCTGTCCCGTATCATCAGTACGACTAAAGCCCCAGTGCCTTTTCACCCATTACTTCCCGTTCTCTTCTTCCCACCTTTGATTATTTTCTTTCCCTGTCCAAGAGGTCAGTGTTCTCTAAACACTGGGGTCAAGAGTGATCTGTATGCTTCTCCCATCCTGGGAGGATCCTCCCAACACCCTTTATTTGGTGCTCCTTTCTCTATCTGAGCTCAATTAAAAAAAAAGAGTGATCTCTGCCTCCTCCTTCAACTATAATACATATTATAGGTAAAATTGTTTTAAGATGAATGGGCTGGAGCTATAGCACAATGGTAGGGCATTTGCCTTGCACTCGGCCAACCTGACCAACCTGGGTTCAATTCCTCCGTCCCTCTCGGAGAGTGCAACAAGCTACTGAGAGTATCTCGCTCGCATGGGAAAGCCTGGCAAGCTCCCCGTGACGTATTCAATATGCCAAACACACCAACAACAAGTCTCACGATGGAGATGTTACTGGGCCCGCTCGAGCAAATCGATGAACAACGGGAGGACAGTGATGGTGAATTTTAAAACAATCATTAGCATCTAACTTGACCCACACAAACTATACATTATACATATGATGCAGTGGTTGACCAGCACAGTTACTGAGAAATGAAGAATGTGTATCAGGGTGTCGGGGAAGCTACCTGTTTCTTGTGTCCACATCATTTTCCCAGGAGAGGTTATTTCTTGTGCTCTGAGATTCCTTTACTTTTCCTTCTCTCCTCCCCCCACCTTTCTTGGGTTATCTTGTTTTTTTTTTTTCTTTTTGGGTCGCACAGGCATTACTCCTGGCTCTGCACTCAGGAATTACTCCTGGCAGTGCTTGGGGACCACATGGGATGCTGGGAATCGAACCTGGGAATCGATGCTGGGAATCGAACCAGCTGTACTATATCACTCCAGTTGCAGGTTATCTTGTTTTTTGCAGACCTGAGGGTCACCCGCACCCTGGGTTTGTTGCTTGCAGAGGTTGTGTTTTAGGTTGCACGCGTTTGCCCTGGGCTGGGGCTCTCTTGAGATGCGTGGTTCAGGGTCACAGTGCTTTCCAGGAGGCACTTCTGGTCTCACCTGTGTTCAGCAGGTGCATTGCCGGGCCATGGTGCTTGAACATCATTTCAGTTGTTGTTGCTGTGGCAGGGGTGTGGGGTGGGCAGATCACACCTCTCTATGGTGTCAGGACACATCTGGCTGTGCTGCAACTCGGAATCACTTTGGGCACTGGAAGGAGTGACAATGCGCAGAAGCCCTGGGCTCCAACAGTAGCACATAGAGACACGCAGACTCAGACTCGGGACTGTGTGACCAGGCAGGGGTGGCAGTC